CTGGTTGCGACATATATACATTGTTATTCTAAGTGTGTGTGTGTGTGTGTGTTTATGTGTATATGGGTGTGTGTTTGTACGTGTGTGTTGTGTGTGTGTGTGTGTGTGCGTAGAACCACCCACTTAGTAAGTTTTACAGCACTTTCAACACAAGGTAAAATAAGTGCCGAACATTTAAGATGCTACCAGTACAAGAGAGTAACATACATTGAAAAGGAGGAGAGATACGGACTATATATTTTTCAGCTTTTGCAATACAATAAGGTCATAAATATTATACAGAGCTGAATATTAGAGGTGTTACAAGACAGTAACGAGGCAGGGGTAGGCCACGGGAAACATGGAGATGCGTGGAAAGGTTTTTGTTTTTGTAAAGTGTTTTACGGTCATATGAGCGCGCGGGACACCTAATATTTTCAGTTGGTAGGAAATTTGAATTCTGCCCGGGTGGCAGCCGAAGCCTACTCTTAATAATATCTTATCGATTTTAGACCACCAAGGGATCTTTAACATGCGCAACTTGCACACGGGACCTCCGAGATTTTTCGCTCTTGTCCGTGAAGGCTAGGTGTAGATCTTTCATACCAGAAGATCAGGGGTGTGGCTGAAAGACAGCAGTAAGAAGAAGCGAAGGAGTAGCAGTAGAAAGGCTGCAGAAAGAATCAGGAGCCCAGATGAGGGGGGCAAAGGAGATGAGGGAGTGGGGGCAGAAAGAGCAGACGAAAGCAGACGACAGAACACTGCTAGAGGGCAGGAAATGAGGTGAAAGGAGACAAATTTAGAGAAGAAAATTTTTCGGTCGCTACTCGGATTCGAGCCCGAGACCTTTGAATGAGAAGCCAACACCTTAACCTCTAGGCCACGAGAGCACCCTGCGGGGAAAGGGACATGAGTGAGAGAGATGAAGCTCACTTGGAAGGATGGCCAAGGACAGAGATAAATGGAAGGAGCTTGCGTGTGGTCTATACCCTGCCAGGGGTGAAAGACATTGATGATGATGACAAGACAGTAACAAACACAAAAAAGGAGGATGGGAAATAGGGATGAAAAAGGACAACACATGTTTGATAGGAAAGAAGGAACAAACCACACCACAGCACCCGCCAACCACTCACAAACTACATCAGAACAACAATGAGAACAAAGGATTGAAAAGAAGTAGAAGAAGCAGCAGACACCAGCACAGCCCAAACAAAGCTGCAGTCAATTCCCAGACAAAAACAAAAAGACAAACAATCCTTTATTTTCTTACAGATTTCTTCTGTAATTCTTTATTTTTCAAAAACTATTAGGAACAATGAACATTTCGTGTCCAAACGAACAGAACAAGGCAAAGAAATAACTCAACTTGGTTCTGAGGACACCACACCAATACCCTTTCAGAGGTAAGAACACACAGCCTCATCAACAGAAAGCAAAGAAAAGAAACATCATTGAGACAGATGTGTTATAATCTATATGGGAAAAACTGTCACTAAAACTAAAACTGCTCAACATGCAGAAAACTAAAAAAGCTTTAAATTGACAAGAACAAGGAAATCAAATGTATTAGTTTCAATAGAAAGTCTCACAGCACTTGCAACACGATCAAGTCAAATAACCAAATCTATTTTTTTTTTAAAAACAAGAACACCAAATGTGAGGCCGCGTGGTGGAATCAGGCTCTCGTCAATTTTTGGACATGTGGAGTTATTGGTATCATCTTAAAGCTTGTTCACTTGTCTTTATTTGGATTTTAAAAATATCCATTTATCTTGAATACAAGTTGAGATATTTGCGAAAGAAGGAGGTGGGGGTCACTTGTTTCCAGAGGTAAAATTAGTGAGAAAATGGCCGCCAAAGATGTTATTTCCTTAGCTTAAAAGTCCGTGATAACTAAAAAATGACATTTTTTGTGCCTTTAATCAACGTTTTCCAGAAAAATCCACACAGAAATGATTTCTTTAAAGGGCATGAAAGGTGTTGAGCCAAAAAACAAAGATTTGATAAAAATTCACAAACCTGCGGAAAAGATGCAAGTTTCTTCACTTTGATTAATTTGACGAGAGCCTGGTTCCACCATGCTGCCTCACATATGTATTAGTTTCAATAGAAAGTCTCACAGCACTTGCAACACAATCAAGTCATATAATCGAATCTTTTTTTTTTTTTAATTAAAAAAGAAAAGAGCAAAAACACTAAATGTATGAAAAAGAACAAGAACAAAGAACAAAAAACCAACTGTATAAAAAACAAATAAACAACAAAAGTAAATGCAGCAACAACAAGAACAAGAAAACAAAAAATCCCCAACCCATGAACACTGCGGATACAATCTCCTCTTTCCATCAGCTCATCATCGCCATAAATCTTCAGTTCTGAGCAAAGAACAACACAGTAGGCATGATATCGCTCACTAAGTGCTTGGGAACAGTAAGAGTAGACTGATAGACCTTTACATGTAAACTCCAATCACCCGAAAAAAATCCCTTACTCAAATACTCCCAGACACTATAGACGTGTAGAAAAAATGCTTCAAAGTACACATTTGCTCACAAAAAAGATTAGAATGCAGTAGCTCAGAAACTAATGGATGACATTTGATTTGTTTGAGCAAAGCTAGGCACATCAACACAATAATGATCGTTTAGTAGAGGAAAAAAATGAAGACAGACAGGAAGCTAGAAGGGAAAAAACAGAAATAGGACAGACTAGTTAGTAGCATCCTCCAACCACCCGCACAAATGGAAAATATAAAGTTCTGAAACATCAAAATCTGGAATGAGAGAGCCACGACAAACAAGAATCCCCGTGAAAAGTTCCTGGCATTGGGATAATGTTATGTAGCTCGTCATGATGAATACACCAATACAACACAACAGACGGAATAAACTTGTGTACACTGCAGCATGAAAGCTACACTATCTTAACCGTATAACGGAAATAACAGGGGAGTAATGTACGAAAACTACCCAGTGTTTACATCATAGGGGAAAGTAAAGTTTCTTGATACTCCACAGGATGATACTGACTGCTGACACCAAAATGTCCACCCCAAATACTGTTTTATAACAATGACACGACAAGATACAAAAATATATCAATTGAACATAAAGGTCCTCCAAAAGCCTTTGAATAAAATTTCAGTATGGCAGAGAAAAAAAATGAAAAGAGTAAATTTTAAAAACTTCAATGGCAGCCTTTTTTTTTTTCTTTCAAAAGACAGAAAATCTCAACAGAAGAGAACGTGAACTACAATAAAAGCAGCAAGCTACACACACTTTGAACAACAGAAAACTCGGATAGCTTCTTTTCAGAAACCATGTCCCTTGATGAGGAATAACAAAAAAAACAACAACAAACATGTCTTTATGTCAGAAAAGATCAGATAGAAAACCTTAAAATATACAGAGGCATAAACAGAAAATTAAAGCGTAATAAAACAGAAAATGAGTATCCTTGATCTCATAAAACCTTCATGAACAAGCCTGGGCCGCACATCTTATTTCTCTACACATGGTCAAGCCACATCTTTCAAACGACAGCAACAGTCAGGCCACATCTTCAAAACGACAGTGATGGTCAAGCCACTGACAGACTCAAGAACACAGAAATGTCAGAGATCAGGGGTCTACCACAAGACCGTGGGAATACAGAGCAACGCCAAAACACGCGTTTAATATCTTTGAGTTATTTTGTTTAGTTTCATTGTCATCTCTGTGTTCATTTATTCAATAAGTTTTTACACATTTTTATGATAAAATGAACTCACAATGTCAAATTTCTAACTCTTTAACATCAGCAGAACAAACCAAAATAAAAATCTGTTGTTCATCAGACAGTATACATCAACTCTTTTCAAAGCCTTCACTTTCACCATATTAACTTGTTGCCTGGTGTGACTGGGTGTGTGTGTGTGCGCGCGCGCATGTGTGAGCATGCATGCGAGTGTGTGTGTGTGTGTAGCAGGGCAGACACAACTCTGGCAGCGGTCAGTGGTGGAACAGCCGCAGGTTGGTGTGGGCCAGGGCAATGTTGTGGTCGTTACACGCCTCCACCACGGCCTGGTCATTGTTGGAGCCGGCCGGAGAGGCGATGAACTCCACACCACTCTGTGGGCAGAAAAATGTTGTAAAGGTGGTCAGAGGGAGATAGATTCACCAATAAAAATAAATGAAATACAGTGAAGTCTGCTCAACTCTTTTTTTTTTTTTACATAGTAGAGGGTTTTAAGGCGCTTGCAACTACATAAGGTCATATGAGCGCCAAGGGGTGGGTGTCAACAGAGAAATCTTTACAGGGAATCAGACTTGCTTTGCTCACCTCTCTAGCTTCAACAGCACAAAGTCTGCTTCAACTATCAAGGCACCCCAGAAATAGCGGGTCACAAGAGTGACAAACATACAAAAGAAGTAGAGGAAAATGACAATAGTAAAGATTAAGAAAGAAAAAGCAACAGTTCCCTGTTGTAGATCAGGCACACTTATGAGTGTGACATGAATCAGTCCATTTAGGCCTACAATTCTACTGTGCTTGAACGAGAAATGTCCCCCCCTTTGGGAATGGCCTAAAGACACTACAGTCAGTGACACTGCCCTGGGGGGAATTTTAACTCTTTGAACACCATCGGACACTGAGAGCGTCCAGTACTAGTGACAACTGTTTCGTTTTATTTAGCGCTAGTTTTTCGGAACTATTCGCGAACCAAGTCTTTTTTTTAGTAAGGACTAAGCCTTTGTTTCCGCCATTTAGAAGTTGGAGGCAAGCTTTTGGGGTTATAATGAGACATAGTGAACTAGGTTTAGTTGACTGCATAAAAATCTCCGGGAAACGGTGGAAAAAACTCAGGGCTTAAAGAGTTAAAGGTAAATTTGGAGTACAGCCAGATTTTCAAGAGTTTTATAGAGAGGTTGGGGAAAAAAAAGTAAAATTGACAGATGTTAAAAAATAACCTCTCCAATTATTTTTTTACTCAACGTTTGTTCTGTTTATTGCTGTTTTTGGATTAACCCCAGTCCACAATGTCATGGATTAACCATGTTCAGTTTAAGCGTCTTATTTTGTGCTTCGAAGGAGGTTGATAATAGATCTAGCATTGAGTGTAAAACAAACTTGCTGTTGAGCGGGAATTTACACCGTCATTAAGATAATCATTTGTCATAATTTTCATGAAACAAGTTTATTGTGATAACTGCTTTTGTAAATCAACACACAATATGATTTAAATTCTCCTGCTCTCTTCTGAAGTTCCTATCTCTTAGGTCACTTTTTTTTACTCCCACCGCCTTGAGCAAAGAGAAACATGTCGATATAATTAGTCATTTTGTGCACAGAAAAGGTAAGACAGACAGAAAAACAAAAAAGGAAGAGAAAGTACAAAGGATCTGCAAGTGGTTTCAGTTTCTCCCTCTAACCACCAGCTTATTTGTGAGGCGAGCATGTGCATGCATGTGTATGTGTTTGTGTATGTGTGTGTATGTGCATGAGTATGAGTGTGCATGCGTGTGTGCATGTGTGAGTGTATGCCTGTGTGTGTGTGTTTATGCCTGTGTGTGTGTGTGTGTGTGTGAGTGTATGCTGTGTGTGTGAGTGTACGCTGTGTGTGTGTGTGTACGTGCCTGTGTGTGTGTGTGTATGCCTAGTGTGTGTGTGTATGCCTAGTGTGTGAGTGTATGCTGTGTGTGTGTGTATGTGCGTGTGTGAGTGCGCATATTTGTAGGATGCACCGTCTGAACCAAACACAGGGAGACCCCGACCCTCTACAGCTGCTGCCTCACCTGGTAAGCCCGGTCAATGTTGTCCCTGAACGGGAAGAAGGCGTCCGAGCTGAGAGACACGCCCTTCAGCTGGCCGACCCAGTCACGACGTTCCCCCTGTAGGACATACCACGACATAAGAATCAGTTGTTTTGTTTTGTTTGTTTTTTAGGGGGGGGGGGGTGTGTTAAAGTAAGTTTTACAGCGCATGCAACAAAATAAGGTCATATAAGTGCCGAAAATTCAAGGTGTTACAAGAAAGTGAAAAATGGTATAGGTTTTAGTTTTAAGTTAGTCTTAGTAAGTGTTTTACTGAACTTGCAACACAATACGTTCATACAAGTGCCGAAGATTAGAAGTGTTACAAGAGAGTAACAAACACAAAAAAGGAGGAGAGGTCAGGATGACAGATGTTTGGTAGGAAGGAAGGAGCAAACCACACCAGAGCACCCGCCAACAACCCACCACGACACAAGGGTCAGTTTTTTGTTGGTTATTTTTTAAAGCAAGTTTTACAGTGCATGAAACAAAAAAAGATTATACAAGTGCCAAAGATTATAGGTATTGCAAGAGAGTGAAAAAATGGTATAGGTTTAACGCCCCCGCCCCTATCAACACTAATAGGTTACTTAAGAGGCGGATTACAAGAGAGTAAAAAAAAAAAAAGAAGGAGAAGAGATAATGACAACAGATGTTTGATAGGAGAGGAGGAGCAAACCCCATCAGAGCATCTGCCAATCACACTCAAGGATCAGTTTACCATGGGAACACACACTCAACGTCACAAATGACTATCAAAATAAAAAATCTAAATATAAGTGTTTTACACCCCCACCCACACAATTTAACTTTAAAAAAATCTCGTCAGAGACATCAGATTATGGAACAACCAACAAAAACTGTATCAAGTGGGATGGGTTGTGGTAGTGTAGTAAATGTTCCCTCAAATTTCCCAATCCCCGAAGAATCAGGGACAGTCGTGGGAAATTTGATACTTACAATTTAGAAAGTATAGAAAACGGGCTGCAAGAGTTTGTGTGCGTGTTAGTTTACGGTGGGAATGCTCACTCATCATCCATATCTAACATTCAATTGTCAATGTTTTACGCCCTGGTCAACCAGACCAATAACAACACCCCAGTCAACACAATTTCATAGCAGTCGAGTCAGTCGACTTTTTAAAACTAATAAAACAGACTCTTCCCTCAGGGGGAGTCAAGATGGTGAGCATTGACCAAGTGACACACCCCAACCCCCCTCACAACCTTCCACACACACATTCCTGAATTCAATAAATTCCTAGCAGATTCGTTACAGTAACATGAAAAATAGAAAAGATCTATGTTGTGACACATACAGTCCTAATTAATTTATGAGTTTCCTCCTCATTATTCACAAATCCAATTTTGAAAGTTTATAATTTTTCTAACCCTCAAAGCCCTGGCCTCCTGATCCTAATTTTACATAAATTCTAGCCTCCCGAGCGTCCGGGTTCAGGGAGAGAGCACTTCAATGTGAAAATACTCAATAAATCAGAACAGCATGAGACCAAAACATGTGTAAGAGGGTGCAGATATGTTGGTATCCCGTCACAGGCATGTTGACAAAAACTACTGAATTAGATTGATTGAAAATAACTACTTTTTTCTGCCCGATAATCCAGCACTTTTTTCCTCACACCAGTGAACCTATGCCACAGATGATTGTCAGGGACGCCAAATGATTTTTGAGAAAAATCCTGAAAATGAGCAGAGCGTCACACCTCACCTAAAACGAACCTTGTAAAATCTTGAAATGAGCAAACAAAAACATTTCTCTTACCATTCCCCTTTCCTTCACAAGTGTATGAAACAAAACGGAAAAAGCCGGAGAAACCGGAGATTTGGTATCCCTGGATTGTTGCAGTGAACCGGTGTCACAAATGATTGTTGCTGAAGTGTGTCACCCGTGTACTGCTGTCTTTTGTTATAGTAAGAGTTTTACGGCATTTGCAACAATACGGTCATACAAGAGCTGAAGATTAGGGGTGTTGCAAGAGAGTAATAAACAGTAAAAAAGAAGGGAAGATAAGGACAACAGATGTTTGATAGGAAAAACAGGAGCAAACCACACCAGAGCACCTGCCAGCAACCCACATACCTGGGCGTAAGACAACTTTTCTCCTCAACAATGGATGGATGTTTTGGACAATTTCTACCATCTACTGTACATAATACTGTCTATACATCTGTGTACACACCTCAGTAAACTGTGCTGGAGGATCTTCTAGCTGAGCCTCCCAGGCACTGGTCTCCATATCCTGTAAACACACGAAAATGTCAGGCGTAAAGAAAAAAAATAATTGTAATTTAATTTTTTTTTTAAATAGAAGAAAAAATGTGTCAGATTTTTTTTTTTCTTCTAGAAAAGAGAAGCATCAAGATATCCATTTAGTTTAGTTTTCGAAGGAGTTTTATTGTGCTTGCAACACAGGTGATTTACTCCAAAAATAAGGAGAGATGAGGACTTCAGATATTTGATAGGAGAGAAGAAGCAAGGCAAACCATACCAAAGCACCTGCCAACCAACCACATATATCGACACAATAACAACAATAAAGCAGAGAAAATGAAAGATGAACAGACAAAAACAAGAGGTAAAGAAAAGAAGTTGGACCTGCCAGTAGTGCGCTCGAACCATCCACAGGACTTAAAAGAAATCACAAACACAGGCAACCACACAACAAGACATTGGTTATATACTTAAAGCATACTGGAAATAAAATGAAATTTGGCGAAAATGTTTTCAATAAATCCATACGACCACTGCAAATTACAAGAGAGAAAAGTACAAGAAAAGAAATATGGTACACCATTTGACAGACAAACATAAAAATACCCCCCCCCCCCCAATCATGCTGACCAAGAGTTCAAGACAGCTGACTCAATAACAGAACTTAAAACCATTAAGCTCAGTTTTAGTAAGAGTATTACAACACACTTGTAACACGAAAAGGCCATATAAGTGCCATAGATTAAAGGTGCTTAGTTTACTTTTAGTAAGTTTTACGGCACTTGCAACACAAAAAGGTCATACAAGTGCCGAAAATTAGAGGTGGTGTTACAAGAGAGTAACAAACATAAATAAGAAGAATAGAAGGAGAGATCACAACGACAGATGTTGGATAGGAAAGAAGGAGTAGACCACACCAGAGCACCCACCAATCACCCAAGTCCTCTCACCTGCCCCACAGTGCCCAGCACAAAGACGTCGATGGCGTTGGACATCTCTGCTCGCTTCACTCCCTTCTTGAAGCGCATACCCAAGACTTTCGGGTGCTGTCGCAGCCACCTGTGTGCAGACAGAGAGGCAGAGATTCAAAACCTGAAAGATGGAACAAACCCCCCCCCCGCCCAACACAAAATAACAATACCTCGTCATGGCGGAGAAGAGGCAGCAATCAAAATTCTCTTTTGTAGCTACAATAGTTAAAGAGCTGAGCAGATCTACTCTATCAAAATTTCACCATGATCAATCAAAATTCAACAATGGGAGTTGGGCGAATGGGAAGTGGTTGTTTGCACAGCTGGTTGCCTTGGAAAAGTTGTTACAACAGGTTCCACACAGTACGACATTATGGTGAGCTCACCAGTTATTGGCCTTGTCTCCAGCCAGTCTGGTGCAGTGAATCCTGGACTGTTGCCCGGCCCCAATGCCGATGACCTGAGGAGGAAAGAAAAACTTGCTACAGTTGCCAGCTGTAGTGTACAGCACAATAACACAATAGCAACCACAGCCTTATGGTCATCAAATATAACATTGAAGAGAAGTTGTTTTGTTTTGACAAGAATTTTACAGCACTTGCAAAACAATTAGGTCATATAAAGTGGCGAAGCTTAGATGCGTAACAAGAAGATAACAAACAGGAAAAAGAAGGAGACAAGGACAATAAGATATTTGATGGGAAAGAAGGAGCACATCAACCACATGCAAGCACCCACCAGCCAACCTCCCATCTTTATTGGAAAAAAAGAGACTTGCAGCCGCATAACAAACTGTAGACACAGGTTGCTTAGGCCCCTTTCGGACAGATATCTACCCTATCAAAAGAACAAGACCTGGCCACTATTTTTCAAACACCCCATCCTGTGGGTAACAAAGTCCCTCAGGAATGTAATATCACATTGAAACATGTCGACAAGACTGCCATAGACAAACAGGATAAAGGAGTAGAAGAGGCTCTATTCAGAACTTACTTGACCTACTTCACACACCCATGGTCTCCACTATCTGTGTGGGGGCCCCCAGTGTGTGTGTGTGTGTGTGTGTGTGTGTGTGTGTGTG